GAGTGTGCAAAACGCCGTGTTTCACTAAAGTGGCTTCGGGTATGCTATACGCCCAAAACCACACGGCCGTGTGGATTTCCAGGCTGCCCGTGTGAGCTCCATGGACTTTCCACACAGCTACAAGGGGTCCCCTACACGGCCATTGTGGCTTGCCCGTGCAATTTGATGTCACACGGCCAGGTCACACGGCCGTGTGGGTTTTTAGGCGTGCCCGTGTGGCTTCCTCAGCTTCTCGCCAAATGTCCAATCTTCATCCAATCGACCCCGAACTCGTTCCCAAACTTTCATTCACGTACTAGGACCTGAAATATCACAAACAAGAACAACCTAGCGTGAAATCGGCCTAAAACACGAGAAATAAGACTCAAACGGTGTAAGAATGGTGGACAAAAACATGTGTACATATAAAGTCATTAGGGTTTCCCCTCCAACCTAGTTTAGAATGGCCAACTAGATTGCTAAGCACAAACATGCACAATCATCATGAAAAATACCTCATTCATTAAATTAAACAACACCCATAAACAATCATTCAATTCACACTATAACTACATGGCAAATAGTTAGTATTTCACAACACACAAGTGAAAAAGAGTACTACTTCATGCTAGAAAGGGGAAGAACACAAAAGAAAGAAGTAGAAACCATCATGGAGATGCCTCCACTCCTCTTTGATCTTGTATTCATCTTTTCTTGTGGAGATTCTTCCCAATTCACCACTTGGAGCAAACCCTAGCCTCCTTTCTTCTTTGGTTCGTCCTTTCTCTCTCTAAAATCTTAAGAAGACACTTTCTCACTCTTGGGCTCCCTCCCCTCTCTTTCTTTCAGCTCAAATTTTATACTAGGATCAGGCTCAGTTCACGGACCCAGTTCACGGCCGTGAACTCTTCAACACGTCCGTGAACTTGGAGCATTGTGTCGAAATACACTACTTCACTCACATGAGTTCACAGTTAGCATTCAAAGTTCACGGTTTTATTCCATCGGATGGTCTCCTTGATCGGTCAACTTGATCGGTCAACTTCCTCTTTCACTTTTCTTTCCACTCAATGATTGCATTCTCCAACTTAACATGCCATGTGCCCCGACACTTTGTCCTACTTCACATCACATGGAACAAACACACTAGTGTGGTTTACTTTGAGAGGCTCGCCTCCACTAATAGTTATACCATTTTGTTCCACTTCTCTTATTTCCTAACTCCTAGGCTTAGGATCAATTCCTAGGGTAGCTCTCTCCTCACCATCCCTTAGAATCAAAGTTCCCTCATTTACCTCAATTAATGCCTTGGCGGTGGCAAAGAAGGGATGTCCTAGTATGAGTGGCATCTTCGAGTCCTCACTTATGACAAGGTACTAGGACATCCTCCACTATGCCCCTAGGACTAATGACTGATCGATCGGCCAATGTGATGCTAAGCCTAGTGGTTTTTAGCTCACCCAAGTTCAACTTCTTATAAAGCTTAAAAGGCATCACATTTATACTTGCACCTAGATCAGCCAAGGAATTTTCTATATGACATGCACCAATGCAAAGGAGGATGGTGAAGCTACCTGGATCTTGCCGCTTCTTGGGAAACTTGTTTAGGATAAACGCGGAGCACTCCTCGCCTAGAGTCACGTTGGCGAGGTCTTCGAACTTCGGCTTCTTGGTGAGGAATCCCTTAAGGTACTTTGCATATCTTAGCATGTGAGCCATAGCTTCAAGGAAGGGAATGTTAAGGTGGAGATTTCGGAGCATCTCCATGAAACCTCCACATTCTGCTTCCAACCTCTCCTTGTACACCCTTGTGGGGAAAGGAAGAGGTGGCTTGTACTCAGCCACCGGAGATGGCGTCAACAATGCCTTCCTTGACACTTCTTTCTCTCCCCTCGAGGGCTCTTCATCTCCATCCTCGGGGTTAGAGTCTTCCTTCTCATTCACTTCTTTGGCAACGACCTCCGAGGTCACCTTCCCGCTCCTCAAGAAAATTGCATTGCACCTGGCTTGATCCTTGGGGTTGCCAATGGTTTGAGAGGGTAGGGGCCCCTTTGGTCTCTCGGTGAGGATCGCAGCAATGCTGTTAATTTGCACTTCCAAGTTATGGAGACTTGCTGGATGGCTTCGGAGTCCCGTTTCAACTGAGGTAAACTTGGATGTTGCCACATCCATGAATTGCTCAATCTTCTCGAACTTCTGAGCACTCATGCTCACAATGGTATTCACAAGGTCTTCAAGTTTGGACAGCTTGTCGGGTTGTTGTTGTTGAAACCCTTGTCCACCTTGTGCTTGGTAAGGTTGTTGGAAGGTCGAGTTTTGAAATTGAGGCCTTTGTTGGATGAAGGTTGGCCGAGGTCGATAATTGCCCATGGGACCTTGGAAATCGGGAGGTCTTGAATTAGTGGGGGATGACCAAGCAAAGTTAGGATGATTTCTCCGCCCCCCCCCCCCCCCGGATTATAAGTATTGCTATACGGGTTGTCCCCTCTAGAATTGGAAACAAAATTGACTTGCTCCGCGAGGGTACTAGACTCCTTCATTGCTTGGCAATCCACAATTTTGTGATTTGTGCTCGAACACCAATCACAACCGCTCTCTTCCCTTGCTTCTTGTCCTCCAGGATCACTTCAATCAACTTATCAAGTTTTGCTTCAAGTGGAGCACTCGTTCCCACACTTCTTACTCCTCTCTCGTTGCTTCTCTTACCACTTCTCGTCAAACCCCAATCATATCCCTTGAGGGCCAAATCTTCAAGCAATTCGGTGACTTGAGGAGGGGTCATGTTCATCAACCTCCCTTGACAAAGAGAGTTGATAAGGATCTTGTAATCTTGCATGAGTCCTCCATAGAAAGTTTCGATCCGGAATTGCTCTTCAAAGCCGTGGTGAGGGCAATAGAGGGTCATAAACTTGTTGAGTAAATCTTCCCAAGAGGTGATGGATAGAGTTGGTTAGTTGTTGAGCCATCGAAGCGCCTTTCCCGCCAAAGAATAGGGGAAAATCTTCAATCGCAACGCCTCCTCGGAGACGAAATTAATCTTTAAAATTCCCGCTAGCTCCAGAAACCTTTGGACATGCTCTCGTGGAAGTAGGCATTTTGTTGAATCATCGACACGAGAGAGGGATTGATCTCGAAATTGTTGGCAGCCACAGATAGATGTAGGGTTGGTTATTAGATGTCCACCGCCCGTGGAGCCATATAGTAGCCCATCGTCTTTGGCTCTTCCTTAGCTCCCGCTTTCGCATTTGCATTCGAGGCCGGATTGGCAGCTTGAGGTTGATTTGCCGCCATTTCAACTTCAAATTCTCCTTCAATTCCTTCAACTTCGGGACCTACCTGTTGTCCCCCTTCTTCGCTTCTTCTTCTTGCCTCCGCTTGCTCCATCTCACGAGCTAGAAGTCGGAGAGTCCGATTGATATCCTCGTCCAGTGGTATTAAAGGTGCCAGATTGCTCCGGGTAATGCACCTTCCTACACACAATCAAAGAACACAACTCGTCTGGCACAAGCACACACTTCACAACTTAGCAAAACAAAAATTAAAAACTAGATTAACACCAAACAACTTTTTCAAGATAACGGACCGTTGAATCCCCAACAACGGCGCCAAAAACTTGACTCATACCGAATATCACAACAAAATCCTACCTAAGGTCCAAGTATAAACCTTAGATGGGTGCAAAATAGGGCAAGTATGTTTAAATATCAACTCGGGCTGATCCATGTACCCCTACTTCCATTATTTGAAACATTATCTAGCGGATTGGTTTTTTGTTGAAAACAATAAAGATTAAATGAAAACAAAGCAATGGTAAATTGTTTGAAAGCTCTAGATGAGAAGGATCACTCTGGTGTCGCTTCCCCCTAACTACTACCAAAGCACATGCACTCGAATGGGACGTTATTCACAATTAATCACGATTAACCTAGTCGTTTCATTAAAGATAGAGGGTTACCCTACATTAACCTAGGTAGGTGGCTTGAAAATCCCAATGAATCCCAACTCAATTGAGCCTCTTTGATAAGAGGGGTTTCCTCTCCAACCTAGGTTAGAATGGCCAACTAGATTGCTAAGCACAAACAAGCACAAACATCATGAAAAATACCTCATTCATTAAATTAAACAACACCCATAAACAATCATTCAATTCACACTACAACTACATGGCAAATAATTAGGATTTCACAGCACCCAATTCACCACTTGGAGCAAAACTTAGCCTCCTTTCTTCTTTGGTTCGTCCTTTCTCTCTCTAAAATCTGAATAAAACACTTTCTCACTCTTTGGCTCCCTCCCCTCTCTTCCTTTTAGCTCACATTTTATAATGGGATCGGACTTAGTTCACGGCCTCAGTTCACGGCCGTGAACGTGGAGCGCTTTGTCAAAACGCACCGCTTCACTAACTTGAGTCCACGATTTGCACTCAAAGTTCATGGTCTTGTTGTCGCAACCGCACCTCCGGATCGGGGGACCCATCGTGAATAGTTTGGAGTCACCATCGATCTTATTTGTGGTGGATCGAACACTGTTTGGTCCGACTCTAACCTTAGGATCAGAATCGGGATTTGGTTTGCGAAATTTTAAAGTTCTTGGTTCGGGAGTACGGTTACGTGTGGTAAAGTGTATTCACACCCCGCGACGCCCTAAATCAGTACTACTTAAATTGGTAAGTTTAAAATGGTTGGATGTATTATAATTTGCGCCTTATTTACGTATTTAATTGTACGATTCAATGAATTATGTGTTTATTATTAATATTTGATCATACGTCTATTGACGCGATTGTCAAAATTAAAGAAAGAGTTTTTGATTAGTTGGACTCGAACCTATTGGTTGACTACGTAGCCAAGTAATCGGGATCAAAGTCCACGTAGTTCGTTAAAATGATTTGGAATATGAATCACCTTCAATTGACTCCTTCAATTGACTCATGATTAAGACTATGGTTAAAATGTTTTAGATATAATTTAATTATTCATCTTGTTACTATAAATGGTATTGTGTTTAAATGACTTGATAATGAGAATTCTCATTATTTAATCTATTATTAATTAAGAAAAACACATAATGTGTTGAATAATTTGATTATTCTTCTTGTTAGAGTAAAAAACGTAACCCTCTAACCTCTAGCCTAGCCGCACAAGTTTTCCATATTCTCTCTCTTCTCTGTTTTCTCTCTGAAAAAGAACCGAAAGGAGAAAAAGAATCCGACCTCTTCTCCCTCTCGCTCTCGATTTCTAAACTTTCCCCCTCTCGATCGGCCCTTGTTCTTCCTTAGCCCCTATATGTTCTCTACTTCTCTCTTCCTTTCTGGTAGTGACGAGGAGAAAGTAAGGAAGGAAAGACGATGACGGCAAGAGAACTGACGGCGATGGACGCCGGTGACGAGGAAGGCAGAGGTGGCGAAGGTAAGATGGTTTTTGTTGCATGTCGATTTTAGGGTTTTATTTGGGATTTTGTGAGACTCTCATTTGTTTTGTGTTATTCTTTTGTGGGTTTTTTTATGGTTTGGGGTCTGATCGAAGAGGGAAAGATGATAGTGGTTGCCGGCGACGGGAACGGAGCGAAGTTCCGACGAGAAGTTTCAGGTGGGTTTTCTACCTTTGATTTTGATTCTTCATTTTTTAATCAATTTTGGGTGAGCTTTAGGTTCTGACCTTTTATCTTCTATTGTGGTCTCGGACTAGAGGGGTCGAAGAAAGGGAGCTGCCACCGACAGTCCCGGGTTTTGCCGGCGGCGGTGGAATGCGTACAGGGGATACATACCCCTTCCGGTAAGTTTTTTCTGGTTTTTCTATTTTTTTTTTTTTTTTGTTTGAAAGAAGGGGTTATGTTTATCTCAATTTAGACGATTGACAACTAATGTGGTTTTCATATTTGGGCATCTGAAAATCTGTGTTTAGGATAATGGTTGGTATGGAATCTGGATTTTTGGGATTAAAAGTCGTTTATGGGCATTGGTACTTGTTTTGGTGCTTACTAGAGAAATTGTGTCGACTGGGTAAATCATCATTTGAAATGGATCACTGCAACTTTTAGATGGGTTTGATGGGGTTTCCACCCAAAATTAGATTATGAGTTTGGTATTATGAAATAAGAACATACGATGAGATGATTCTGGGTGATGATGATGAGATAATGAGATACCAACCTTGTTGCTTGTAGTTTGGTGATGACTCTGCCTCCTATTTCTCGACTTCCATGGCATTTAACTGCTGCATTTCTAACTTTCTTGTTGCTCGGCTACCTTCTTTTGTATTTTAGCTTCTGTTTGTTATTTCTTTTTTGTTTGGATGGCTGGTGTGTGTTTCAATAGGAAAGTGACAGAAGTGAAGAAGACTTCAGTGCCTTTTATGTCTGTGTATGGCTAAAGAAGAAAGAAATGGAAATGAACTCTTTTTTTTTTTCCATCTCTATTTTCTTTCTGTTTTGGACTTCTGTTGGTGTCTCGGGTTTAGAACAGGAATGAGAAAGAGGAAGAACAAGAAGAGGAGAAGAAGAAATAGAATTGAACTCGCCTTGTGGTGTCTACACTTGTTAACCGTGAACTCGCCTTGCGTCAGTAACTTTAGAATCCGCTCTGGACGCTTCACGGTTCACGGTTTTGGGCCTCAGTTCACGGCCATAGGAGACCGTGAACTACAATGGGAAACCGTGAACCCGGCGTAAATCACCCTCTTTGCCCAGTTTTCGCTCATTTCCTTCCAACTTCCGACTTCGGGGCTGGTTTCACCTGTTAGAACCTGAAACACACAAAGCCTAGCACAAAACAACCCTTTTAGGGGCACAAATGCCACAAACGCCCAAGGAAAACGGGGATAAAATTTGTGCAATTAGGCCCGAATCATAAATATAACCAGAGAAGTGGCATTACTTTTGGGGATAGTTCTAGATAATAGTTATGATTGTATTTGGGCTACGTGCATGACTAGTTGCTATGGGGTATTACTTTTGGGGATAGTTCTAGATAATAGTTATGATTGTATTTGGGCTACGTGCATGACTAGTTGCTATGGGGTAGCGTTGGTGAGGCCCACAACCCAAAGGGAACGAGTAACCAACATAACATTAAGGGTTGGTGTGGAACCTAGTGATAATTATACGAGGGACGAGCTCTAATTAGTTGGACGGAGACTAATTTATTCTGTTGACGTAGTTGCGTGATCGTATGGGGAGAAATCGCATAACTTTGAATGACAAGTGTTCAAGTACTACTTTATCGTTCAGGTGCATGGTTAAAGGGGCCTAGAGTAGTATTCCATATCAATCTATTAATTTCGGTTCACGCTTTATGTTTTAGTTATTCCTTATACGCTTTCATGTTCAGCTAAGTCATTTACGTTTAGTCATTACTTTAAGTGTGCATGACATCACGAAGCATCAGTAAACTAAGTTTCACGGCATTCAAGTCTAAGATGACTTGTGCAAGTTAATAAGTTGGGTCTTCCCATTGTGTGGGAGATCTCCAAACTTTTCAAGTATGTGAGCAAGTATAAATTAATTACATCTCCCCAGGAGTGAGAGATTCAGATAAGCAAGTGTAAAAACTATCAAGTTAATAAGTACGAATAAGTAAGAACACGTTTAATCCTTGCTTAGGCTACGCACGCAGTACATGATCCCCATTGTGTGGGTATTTTCGCCTTAGATCGGCGTAGGATCCCCATTGTGCGGGCGTTTTGCCTCTGATAGGGGCCTGATCCGCATTGTGTGGGTGTTTTGCCTTAGATAGGCACAGTTTACACGTTCATGCTCTCCATTGTGAGGGTAGTCATGTCAGGACATGTTATGACAAGTTTTACCGGACGGTTGCGCTAGCTAAGTGGAGGACGGAGCCCCATGTTAAGATGAAATACGCAAGACACGTATAAACTAAACAAGAGCTGTAAGTTCAATAACTCTTACTAATGCATCTAATAATGTACCAAAAGCATTGCATGTGCATGGCTATCTGTGTATGTATGATGATGAAAATAGGATTAGAACTGAGCCCATCCCCCGCATTCAGGAAGGGTGGAAGCTCAAGAGTATGCTTAGAATTGCAGCAGTTCGTGATGAGGATCAATGGCTCTAAAGGACTCCAGTACAAAGATTCCAATCTCGTGTAGTTAGTAGGACTTGAGACTTGATGCAAATGATTAAGAGTATTTATGACTTATATAATTTCCTCGTACGTAAGTTAGAAGCAAATTTTGTTCGAATTTTAAAGTTTTTATTAAATCATATATATGAAAAGTTTTCCGTTAATTTTTCCAGTCTTTTTGGTTCTCATTATGGTTAACAGTTTAATAAGGGCATTTTGGTAATAGTAGTGTCCAGCCAGATTAGGGTGGTACAGTCCCTATCTGATGATCGTTGTCAATGCCGATCAACCCTTCGCCCGATTTGGGCTTGAGCGAGTGGGAGTGAAGCAGCGACCGAAGCTACAACTTCTGGTTCATCATCATGTTCTGTAAAGATGATGGTGCCGCCATCGCCGAACCCACCTGAAAATTCCTGACGACGAAGGGATTGTTTGGAAGATCACCACTACCGTTGGTATTATTAGAATTGAATGAATGGGAGATGAATGATAATGGGTGATGAAGCTTGTGGGCGACGGGTCGACGAGGGTAGAAGGAGTCGAAACCTTGGAGAGCGGAGGAGGAGAGGTTTGCGATTGAGTTAGATTCCCAGATCTTGAAAAATTGTGGTTTTGAATTTTATTATTATTATTGTTAGAAAGGAAAATGAATTATCACAACAAAATAAAGGAAAATGAATACATAAATTAAAAATAAATATTTTTATTTCTTGTTTGTTGACGTGGCAAGTGAGCTGGTCATTTGACTAACAGTTAATGGAGTTGACCATCCAATTTAACGGTCAAATTTGGCTCCAGATCAAGTTAGGAAGTATGGTATATAGTTCGGGTCAAAAGAGCAATTTCGGAAACCACCGGCCAAAGTATAAAGTTTTTGTATAATTCAGATCAAACTAAGGTATTAACCCTTATTCCTTCCCTGATTTGTTTTCCATCTCTCTGGCTCTATTCTCATATCATCCTTCCTTCTCCCATTTCTCCCTCTCCAAATCTCTCTGCAGAGGGGAAAATAGAAGGCAGGGGAAAGCATCCAATGATTCAACATTCTCAACTTCCAGTCGAGGCTTGGCCGGATCTTTTCTCTAATCGGTGGTCGAAGCTTCAAGGCCTCGCTGATTTCTCCTTCTATACGCCGATCTTCCACTGCCTCCGTCGTTGGTTTATTCCAGCAGGTTGCGCCACCTGCTGTGGTTGTCGACGGAGATTGGCTTTGGGGATGATTGCTAGCGACGGCGGCGGCGTGATTAATAATGAGATTAGTGTAACAAACGAGACTGAAATGCAAACTAGTTAAAAATAAGCAACATAATGTAATTGTGGAACAAGTATAAATAGGACCATCTTGTATTGAACTCGATAACGAATAACAAAATAAACAATTTTCCAATCTCTGCTTCTTCTCTTTTGCTCTATCTCCTTCCTTCTTCCTCTCTTCTCTTCCTCTTCCTCAAGCACTCTTTCTGCATATCTTCTTCCTAATCTCTATTGCTTACATAAATTCATCTGTTTACTACATTCAATAGTCGAGAATTGATCCAGAACAAGGCCGGACATCACAAATTGGTATCAGAGCCTCTTTTTGACAACCATGGTGACATTAACGTGTTGGGATAGCAGTGAAGGATGATTTGCGAAGGCAACGCGTTGGGGACAATGGTGAAGTTTGATTTGCCCATGAACCGAATCAAATTTACTTTCCCCAACCCAACATAATGAACAACACAACCCCAACTTGATAGTTAACCCTCAATTTATTTTCATTCTCTTCCACGTATCTTCCTCTTTCGCACGTGGCGCCCAACTCCTTCCATCAACGATATCTTCCACCCTTCCAATTAGCTTATAGTTTGTTCCCACCACCCTCACAATAATCCAAATCTCAATTACATTGCAAGCTTTTGTTCATCTCCCAATCCTTCAGCACCACTAACCCGACCTTTTATCAATTAAGAAGGGAATGCATCAATCAATGAGTTATCTTTTCCAGATGATGGTAATCAAGGAAATATGGTCAATGGTGAAAGTACTTCAAGTGATCATAAGAGTAATGATATTAGTCCTTAAACAAATAAAAACGATGAGAGTGAGGGTGAGTTGAGGATGATGACGATGATGTGTAAGTGATGTTAATGTTGATCCTAACGATCTTATGTGATTTTCTACTCTTAACAATTAATTAACAACGATATCGATAATGTTTCAGGTTTCCTATTTGTGTGTTTCTATTATGTACAAGAAAAATTTATGGATTAGTTGTGTTTGTTTAGCAAACAAACTTATCTTGGGAAGTAATTATGCTTTATGTGGTTGATTGTTATTCAAGATATGCATTTTTATTACTATCTAGTATTTTAAGTATTTATTTTAATATGAACCTTAAAATCTTACGATTTTACGAATTTAATCTACGATTTCGATTCTACCTCAGTTTTCGATTTTACTTAAAATCTAGATTTTGACTGCATTGATAAGAACGACCCTCAAAGTCACAAGGCTCAAAGGGATAACACATTTCGGGACAATCAACATTTGGGCGTGGACTAATCCTATGCCTCCATCCTACTCGCTAATGACAACTGTGATGCTACACACCATGGTGAGAGGGAACTATCACACCAGAAGAAACGATCAACTCAAAACTCACAGGCTACCTAGCCGCCCAATCGTCTATTCCACATTCACAAACTCAATGCATGGCAATTGTAATCGAAGAGTAACCAAGTCAAGACATTCCATTCATTTAAGCACACATGAGGACTAAGCCTTCGCACAATCCTAATGCACTCTCATTCATCTTTATAGGATGCACTCGACTATATTCAAAAATTCAAGAACGATGCCAAATAAGCTAGAGATTCACCATCCAACCGGCCATTTTGAACAAGCATTGCTTGGAGCCCTAAAAAAATTTCAAATTTGGGCATACATCAAGGCTCCAAGCATTCAAAATCACACCAATCATTCACACAAAAATGCATAAAGGACTACCCCTACCCCCACACTTAAGCTTGACATTGCCCTCAATGGTGTAAAAAAAGGAGGTAGAACGATGTTACCGCATACGATGTGAATGTTGATGGTCGGGATCAGAGGTCGTGCGAGATTCAGAAGAGCAATGAGACGGCAAAACACCACCAAAATCTCTCCATTGGCCGTCTTATTGGAAGGAAAAGAGATGTAAACCGTTGATGGTTGGTTTGCCTCCCACCAAACGCTTCTTTAACATCGTGAGCTGGACGGTTGATCTTCAAATTTCGGTCCACCCAAGAACCTCCTTGAAGTTGAGGTTCTCGTGGTGTCTCAAGTCACGAGCATTGGACGAGTCCATGATTGAGGGCTCGTGAACTTGAGTTGCGTTGGGCTCCACCCGTGAGACCTCTTCTTCTTTCCTTACCCCACACCATGTAATGTCACATTGATTTACCACCATCGCATCCACCAAGAGGGATCGCCGATGGTTTGTCCTTGGCTTGGAAACGAGCCGCAAATGGGTCCTTATCCAAAAGCGCATCGAGGTCGGGTGGAAAGCTTTCGTAGCCCTCGTGACTTGTGGATGCTTCATCCACCTCGACCTCGTCCTCGTCTTGGATGCCACTTGCTCCTTCTACTTCATCTTCAACCTCCCTTCCTTCTTCTTCAATTTCCTCCCCTTGGGAACGCTCGAGATCTTCCCCCTCTTCAATGCTTACTTCCACCTCTTCAACCTCTTCTTTCACCTTCCCATTCATGTCTTCAAGCACGGTTTGTAGGGCAAAATGCCATGCAAGATCATAGAAAGGATTCTTGCTCCTCCATACTCGTGACTTGGTCTTCAAATTTTCTCTCGGAAAGGGTGTGAAATTCATCAATGCAACCTTCTTGTTCATCCTCACCACGGGAGCTCTCCGAGGTGAGTTCTTCTTGCTCCACACGGTTGTCATTGATTGGTCCTTGAACCTCTTCTTTCTCCTCCAATAATGAGAGGCGATAGCTTGCACAAGTACGTGTCACCTTCTCTTCTAATGTCAAACCGGGGAAGGGAGGGGTTGGGAATCCATGTTGGAGCTTGTTCCTTCAAATTCCCCACAATAAGCTCCAGCTTGGACTTCTCTTTGGGTTGTAAGAGATCCAAACTCGAGCACCCTTCGTCGGTGCTTCGAACAAACCGCTCCACCAAGAGCTCCAATTTGCTCTTTGGCTCTGGTTGTGAAGAGGCACATGGTCTTGAGGAATGGCCCATGAAAGCCTCCATTGCCAACTCCAACTTGGATTTCTCCTCGGTTTGTGGAGGGAAGGTTTCTTCGTATGGGGAAGCCCCCATTGGTATGGTTGTTCTTGGAAGGGATGTTGATAATAGATCTCGGATCCTTGGCTCCCCCTTCTTGTTCACTCCATTAAGCTCCGGGGTACCCCCATTTGGGTGGTTGTGCATACCCCTACCTATTGTAGAAGCCATTGGGATCCATGATTCATAACTTACACAAACAAAAACAAAAAAAAAAAATTAAACAAACACAAACCACCCTTCCAAGAGAAGAGTGGGTAAACAAGTTTGGGAGCTCTCTTGGGTTAAATTCCCCTATTTCCGACCTTTGGATCGATGTTGAGTATCCTCCTAGCTCGATCGACTCAAATACACTATCATTTGGATATGGACTCCCTCGGGAATGACCCGGAACGGTGAATCGACGGCTTGGTAGGTGCTCTATTTGGTTTCGTATATTGCAAGGAGACTAATGGAATCAACTCCCTAGGAGACTACCCGAACAATATACGATAGGAGTGACCCGAAGACGCCAATAATGGGCTATAAGGGGATTATCTCCCTCCTAAGTCAAAAGCTGAATATATGAAAATGGAAACTCAACTCATGCCATTCATGAAAACATCCATCAATTAAGTAAAATCATCAATTAAACATGGAGTTTGTCACATACATCAACATTAAACCAAATCTAGACCTAGGGTTCTTAAAACCAAGAGAAGAGGGTGAGTTGAGAGAGAGAGAGAGAGAGAGAGAGAGAGAGAGAGAGAGAGAGATATTACAAAGAAACCTCTAGATCTTCTTCTTCTAGGCTTGATTCCTAGCTTCCAAGCTTGATCAATGCCTTCAATTAAGCTCCAAGATCACTCCCTCTCTCACTAGAAGTCCCCTTTGGTGTTTTGGGTTGAAACCCTAGAGAAATAAAGTGTTCATTCTCTAGAAACCAGCCTCCCTTCCTCTCTCCTCGCTGTTGTCTTCATATTTGCCCGAAAGTGACCAGTTCACGGACCCGTTGGCCAGCTCACGACCGTGAACACCTAAACGCGTCTGTGAACTTGGCGTCGTCTCCAAAACGCATCGCTTCACTCTCATGGGTTCATGGTTTGTGCTCCAAGTTCACGCTCTTAGAGACCGTGAACTCGTCTCGCGGTAGTAACTGCAGATTTCTCCCTAGACGGATCGATGTTCATGATTAAGAGGCAATTGTCACGGTCCCCGTTTTTTCACTTTTTCGCACTTTTTGACCTCTAGTTGACCCGAAACTCGTCATCGGCCTTTCCACACATGCTAGGACCTGAAATGTATCAAAACAAGCACAACCTAGTTTGAAATATGTCGAGGAACGATGAAATGCAAATTCAAACTATCAAAAAATGAGGGGCAAAATATGTACATTTGAACCCAAATCAAAGAGTGACAGTGAGATGGATTATAAAGCTTATGTTTCTGATTCATGATGTGCCAGTCGGTTACTTACGGGCTTCTTGGCTCAGTTTGTTGTTGCACTTGATTTTGATGAGGATGATGTTGAACATTGGCAAGCAGAATTCACAAGCTCAACTCATGATGCTAAGCTTCATATATGCTGCTGCCTCTGGCAAGTTTCACAGTAACTACTGTATCAGCTGCACTATGGAAGTCCCAGCACTTCGCTCCACCAATTCAGCATTGGCTGTCTTGAACGCAAACTGAGGTGTTCTTGAAGATCTGTCTTAGTTCAACAACTGCAAATGTTTTAAGGCAAAGAAATTTACATATGAGAAGCTACTTATGATTTCTATTATTCACAAGTAGAATCCATAGTTTTAGCCATGTTTTCTATTATAGCAGCTCTACTCTTAGGTAGCAAAGTTAGCTTAATCTCAGCTTGTTATGCCATTTCAATTGTCCTTCGGTCTTGAGGACAAGACTGTTTTCATGGGGAGGGTATTTGTAACGAACGGGACTGAGATGCAAACTAGTTAAAAATAGGGAGCATAATGTAATTGTGTAACAAGTATAAATAGGATCATCTTGTATTAAACTTGGTAATGAATAATGGAATGAACAATTTTCCAATCTCTACTTCTTCTCTTATGCTCTATCTCCTTCCTTCTTCCTCTC